TTTTATGTATACATGTAAATTTGTGATTGTAAAAATGCATAATTAACCAAAGTTGTGTTGTATGCTTTAGTGGAGTAATAAGGATAAATAACTAAGACTAGTGTAGAAAAATATGAATAAAAATGAATAACTCCACAACACAAAGAAATATATTTGAAACAAAAATTTCTGATGAACATACAGTCGGAATGCATCAACTACATTTCTTGCGAAGTTAAGTTATTCATTCTTTTTCACACTTTTTTTTTCTGCATTTGTCATAATGGACTTTCTTCATACTAGAGATATATATTAGATATTTTACTATGTTATAAAATTATCACAAGGACCGGAACTTTTATGGCAATTTTTCTTTACACCAGAAAAGTGATGGAGAGGCAGGATTACAGTATATGCTGAGGATTTATAGAGAAGGGAGTTTCAAAGTTGTTTACGATCTTGCCATGGCGGGTCAAGCATGGAAATGGCAGAATATACACAGCGCCAAAGGTCTGGCTGGTGAGATTTTTATTTGTTTTAATTTGTCATTATTTTACAAGCAAGGTCTCGATGCAGATGAAATGCTGCTTATTCATTGTGATGAAAAAAAGAAAATGCACTAAGAGCATACACATATACGCAGATGAGTATTTTATATATGTATGTATGTATGTATGTATGTATGTATGTATGTGTGGATCTGGTTAGCAGTGTCTGCATGTATTTTTCCACTTATGCGTCCATCTCTCTATATAGTTTGATAAGGATAAAGATATACGAACATATAAATATGCAGGACTGTACGCATGTGCATGTACGTATAAAGTTATTTTTAATTAACTCTAATGGACTGAAATGCCTATGCTTTTATTGGACGGCAGCAAAAATGCATAGTACAGTGCAAATCCAATAATTGTACATTTGCACATTGAAAAACACTAGAGCTAGGCGCATTTAAACAAAGGAGAGAAAGTAATGACTCACAATAGATGATGGATATTGGCTGAATACTTTTAGCCTTGGCACAGTGTTCGTGATTTGTTTCTGCTTCAAGCAAACACTTGGACATAAAGTGATGTCTCTGAAAGGATATTGGAAACGTGTGAAACAGCAAAATGCAAGCGTTTTTGTAGATCTCTCTTTATATATATCTGTGTTATGTTGTGTATATAGATGAATATATATAGACATATATTCATTAATACACATACATATACATATTTGCACACACATTGCATGTGTGTGCGCGCGTGCGTGTGTGTATGGATGTAGGTATGTATGTATATGCATACATACATACATACAGAGAGAGTGAGAGTGAGAGTGAGAGAGAGAGAGAGAGAGAGAGAGAGAGAGAGAGAGAGAGAGAGAGAGAGAGAGAGAGAGAGAGAGAGAGAGAGAATGAGAGATGCAGATATAGAGATAGATAGAGATAGAGATTGAGATGACAGAGATAGAGCTTGATAAATAGATAAGCAAAGATGGATAGAGAGAAAAACGATACCGAAAGAGAGAGAGAGAGAGAGAGAGAGAGAGAGAGAGAGAGAGAGAGAGAGAGAGAGAGAGAGAGAGAGAGAGAGAGAGAGAACGAGCAAAGGAAAAATGCCATTTCCGGAAAATAGCCAGCTCAAATTTTCTCCAGCCGTGTTAAACCAGCAACCGTGGCTACAGACAAAGTACATCGCTTTGAGCGGATTAATGTGAGAGGATAACCGAAAAAGAAGCAAAGGAAAAATAAGAAAAAAAAAGACAGAAAGGGAAAAAAAGGTAGAAATTGGTAAGGTTTTCCGCAGAGCAGTTGTACGGATTACGAAAGACAGTGGTTTTCTTTCTCTAACTGGACGGTATTGGACAACAGAGATGTTTAGACGTTGCGGGAATGAAAAAGAAGAAATAATTTGGTTCGCGAAAGATGGCTCAATTCTGATATTGAACAGGACACACTTGTAGATATGTGTATGTACGTATAGATAGATAAAGAAATAGAAAAATAATTAATTAATAGATATTGTGTCAACACACACACGTACACACACACACACACACACACACACACACACACACACACACACACACACACACACACACACACACACACACACACACACGTACACACACACGTACACACACACGTACACACACACGTACACACACACGTACACACACACGTACACACACACACGCACACACACGTACACACACACGCACACACACACACACACACACACACACACACACACACACACACACACACACACACACACACACACACACACACACACACACACACACACACACGTCTGTATGTACCGCATATACTCTGTCTATACATTGTGACATGAAAAAAAAAATATTTCGAAAATAAAAACAGAACATGAAAGAAAAGTTAAGAGAAAGAAAAAGAAAACAGATTACGAAATACGATTGTTATTGTACTGAGAGCGAAGTCCGGAAACATGATACAAACATTTTTTTTTCAAACCATAAAAGTTGAATACAAAGGAAGCGAGAGAAGATGGATATATATCAAGGAAAGTGACAAAACTTGAAAGGAGGAAGAAGAGGAATAAAACAGGAATGGCAAGGAAGAGAAGAAGACAAGGGAGAAGAGAAAAAAAAATAGAAAAGAAAAAGAGAAGAAAAAATAGAGGACAAGAATAGAAAAAAAGTAAGAACGTTGAGAGAGAGAGAGAGAGAGAGAGAGAGAGAGAGAGAGAGAGAGAGAGAGAGAGAGAGAGAGAAAGAAAGAATGAGAGAGAGAGAAAGAAAGAAAGAGAGATAAAGAGAGAAAGAGACAGAGACAGAGAAAAAGAAATGTAAAGCAACGGAGAGAAGCAAGAGACAAAGAAAGAGAAAACAAAGAAAGATAAAAAACGAAAGAGGAAGAGAGAAAAAAAAACTGACCAAACAAAGAGTTGAAAAAAACAACAACACACAAAAGACGGAAGAATGTTTATCACTAAAATGCCCGTCGGGGAATTCGCAAGCACAAGCCTAGTCTCAAAACAAACACACTGAAGACATCGAACCGCTCGACAAACACACACATGGGCGGAGTTACTTGTCTGCCAAATGCAATGCCCTGAGGGGGTAGGGGGGGAGGAGGAGGAGGAGGGATGGGGTAGGGTGGGGGTATGGGCGGAAGGAAGTGTGGATGGAAGTGATCGAGAGAAAAAGGATATAAAGAGGGAAGGAAGAAAGGAGAGAGAGGGAGAGAGAGAGAGAGAGAGAGAGAGGAGAGAGAGAGAGAGAGGAGAGAGAGAGAGAGGAGAGAGAGAGGGAGAGAGAGAGGAGAGAGAGAGAGAGAGGAGAGAGAGAGAGAGAGGAGAGAGAGAGAGAGGAGAGAGAGCGAGAGAGAGAGAGAGAGAGAGAGCGAGAGAGAGAGAGAGAGAGAGAGAGAGAGAGAGAGAGAGAGAGAGAGAGATGATTATATCAATTATCATTATATTAAGAAACAATAGCTTTGCCATTGATATGAACGTTTATAATGGTGATGATGTAGTGTGCTTATAACTAAATACCCACATCTGAAGAATGACAAACCACACTACATTGATGCAATGGGGAGAGAAATGCACTACACACACGGAGTAGTTTTACTGTAAGATGAGGCAATAGTTTCGAAATTCTCTGGTCCTTATTTATCCTTTTTGTTCCGTGTCTTTTTCTGTTTTTTTTTTCCTTCTCTGTCTTTTTATGTTGTTTTTTCCTCTTCCTTATATGTATTTTCCTCTTTTCTGCGTACGGTTACCGCCCAGGCATTCAAATAGCTTCAGTATGATCGCTCAATACGTCGCATGGCTCAAAGCGTACAGCCACACACAACATTAATATTGTAAGGACTATAGTCTCTTTAGTTTCAAGAAAAAAAAAAAGACTGGTAAAGAAGAAGAAAAAGAAAAACAGAGAAAAAGAAAAAAAAAAGAAAAAGAAAAAAAGAAAGAAAAAAAATATAGTGTATACACGCTTTATAAATACAAAACACATGAAAGCAAAAGTATTAAGTGTCATCTGATTAGAATTTAAAAGAGACGACAAATCGGAGTTACTCGTGTAGGGTTGCCAGTACGCACTATATGTACCCTGTTTCTACTCTGGCGCTAGGAATTATCTAAGGCACATTTGACAACCTGTATTGCATAAATTACAGGGGACTAGACTTTTTGGGAAAAGAACATTAGCCAAATATCCTACTCTAATCTCAATTATTCAGTAAAATCGACATGGGGAGAGAGAGAGAGAGAGAGAGAGGGGGGAGGGAGGAGGGAGAGAGGGAGAGAGAGAGAGAGAGAGAGAGAGAGAGAGAGAGAGAGAGAGAGAGAAGGGAGAGAAGAGAGAGAGAGAGAGAGAGAGGAGTGAGAGAGAGAGAGAGAGAGAGAGAGAGAGAGAGACAGACAGACAGACAGACAGACGAGAAAGAAAGGCAAAGAGATTATCCACTCGCAACACACACACACACACACACACACACACACACACACACACACACACACACACACACACACACACACACACACACACACACACACACACACACACGTGTATGACCACGTATAACTTCCCAACCGCTAGACTTTCGGGAACCAGAGATATAGGGCAACGCAGGTCCACCGGGAATTGAGTGTGAAACGTGGCGGACAATGTCGCTGGGAGTTCCATCTTCCCGTTAGTCTTTTGTTTTTCGAAAATGCGTAACTTGACTTAGCTTTTTGGGTTTTATTTGTTAGATAGATACAGATATTGAGGTAGATTGAGATAGAGATATAGAGGTAGATTGAGATAGAGATATAGAGGTAGATTGAGATAGAGATATAAAGGTAGATTGAGATAGATATACAGAGGTAGATAGAGATGGATGATATAGAGATACAGTGTGTGTATGCGATACTCCCAATAACTGATGATACATAAATACAAACCCCGGTAAGAAAAAGAACAAGAAAGAAAGAACGAAAGAAATAAAAAAAAACTAATGATATGGTGAAAAGATCTCGCTATTACCGCAATACGATACCCGTAATATGGCAACATTACAACAGGAAGAGATGTAACTGTCACTTGTTTTGGGAAATAATGTCGACATTAATTCCCTATTAACTTCTTTCGCACAGAAAACCATTGCAGATTTTTGTTGTTGTTGCAAGAAATCGAGGAGCTCCGGATGCAATATGAGTTCCTAAGATAATAATTGGTGATTAATGATTTCGGGATAATCATGGCGAAGTGTGATCGTCAATTGTCGTTGCTAGTATTTTATAAAAATGTTCCTATTCCCATTTATGACAATAATGCAACATTGCTTTTGATAACTACCATCCTGTTATTATCATTATCGTTATAATTCCTATATCCTGTATACTAGAACAAACACCTACAATATCCTTTTCCACAAATACATTATTTGAATCATCTAAACTCTTCTCAAGCACCCAATACCCGCATCACAAAGACAAAGAAAGAAAGAAAATAAGAAAATAAGAGGAAAAAAAATATATCTTCACACACCAAATGAAAACGAGTTCCTAAGACGTTCAACAGATGGCGCCGTTTTCGCCAACCTAGTAAACACGTTGGAGGAAACATCATCAGCGTCTTATAAAAGGAAAGCATCTGGGGGTTTACTTCCATCCGGCAAACGGCGTGTGATAAATACATCTCATGGTGTTTAACGAGGGATAATAAGGAGAGTGATATTAATGCGATATGTGTTTAATTACTCAACTGTCAACACAAAGGGGTTGGTTTGCGGGCGCTCGAGACAGAATAGGAGAAGGAGAGAGCGGTAGATGCGGAGCGTGTGTTCAGGGAAGGTTTAATTCGTCTAAAGTTATAACATTACGCTCTGCGCGCTTCGGAGATATATCGCTGGGATGATCTTACCACTTGTGCAGTGGTGGAAGGTTTAACATATATGTATGTATGTATGTACGTGTATATATATATATATATATATATATATATATATATATATATATATATATATACATATATATATGGTATATGTACACACACACACACACACACACACATACACACACACACACACACACACACACACACACACACACACACACACACACACACACACACACACACACACACACACACACACACACCCATCCACACACACACACACCCATCCACCACACACACACACACACACACACACACACACACACACACACACACACACACACACACACACACACACACACACACACACACACACACCGCTTATCTTGGTGGCTTTCGGGCAGCGCACACCCAGCCCTCATTCGGCGCCGTGCGAGGACAACGAACGAGGCAGGTTTCCCGGGCGCGGAGTGAGCGCAGTTGTATCCATAGCAAGCGGAGGAAGAAATGAAGCCTGCAGACGACAGAGAATTCTCTTTTATTTCTGGTAAAATTTACAGCGAATAAAACGCGCGTAAGTAAAAGACTGCAAGGCGAGAAAATAATGACCCCGTGAGGCAGTTGGTCTTAATGACACCATTACCGCAAGAGAGAGATTTAATCTTGCAAGAATACATGCAACTCCGCCTTCAGTTGCAGGACAGATTTTGGTTCCTCGATGCGACTTTATTCTTTGCAATCGGATGTCATTACAGGGAATAAAAAATGGAAGAATGGGGTAAATAGATGAAAAAAAAGAAAAACGAAAACGAATGAAAGAAAATAAAATAACCTTATATATGTATTCACCATCATGAGACATTTACATGTTATGAATGAATAGATAAACGATTAAACGCTGTCATATACAAGATACATCAAACCTTGAAAATAAATCTTGCAAAATACAATCCTTTTTTTTTATTCGGTTACTAATTTCATTTCATGTACTTTTATCCCATTTAAACCTCTATTTTATATCACCCTATCATAGATTTAATAGACAACTTTTACTTTCAACGTTATACCATGACCAACAAGTGTGTACAAAGAAAAAGCCAAAGTTAATGTTATTTCTTCTCTTTCAGAATTCGCTGAGCGGTTACACTACTAACAAAACATCATCGTTGTTCAAAGTCGAGGAATTTCTTACCTGAACAACTTGTGGGAAAAAAGTTTTTGGTAGAGAGAGAAGAACAAATACGAAGAAGGAACTGTAGTTTTGGTAAACAGAAGAAAAAAAGTTATTTCGATTAAAAATAGACACGTTTCTAAAAATAAGAATGTTTGTCTATCTGATTAAAAAAAAAATACTCTGAATCTGTGATGATTCAATATGACTATTTATTTTCAAAATAGTCTAAGAGACAGATAATCAAAAAAACAAATCATATATTACTCTGTTACTCTACAAACAGCACATCTAACTTTATCCTTGCTAACCGACAAAAACAAAAAGAAAGAAAGAAAGAAAGAACATAAAATAAAAGAAGAAACAAACAAACAAAAAGAAAAGAACCAACAATAAAAAAAGAAAAGAAAAAAAAGAGAAAAGAATACAAAAACAATTAAAAGAGAAAGAAAGAAAGAAAAAAAAACACGCCACTCTGGTGAACATTTCCCCAGATGTCACAGCCAACAACAAGAAGTCTTCACGAAAAATACGCCATAATAAGGAAAGTCTAGAAGTCCTTTCGTTGTACTAGAAGATTCTGGAAGTCTGTGAAGTCGCGCTGTCTTTTGGAAATGATGGAGTTACCCTTAAGGATCCGTCTCGCTGAGATTCTGCAATTGCTACTTGTCTTCTCTCGAGGTGAGTGTCGGCGGTGTTGCAACTGCACGCTTGTCTCTCTGACTGTGTGCTTGTCTGTCTTTTTGTCTGTTGTTCTCTTTGCTTGTCTGTCTGTGTCTCTGTTTATCTGTCTGTTTCTGTCTGTGCCTGTCCGTCTCTATCTCTTTCCCTCTGTGTCTGTCTGTCTGTATCTCTTTTCCTCTCTGTCTGTCTGTCTGTATCTCTTTTCCTCTCTGTCTGTCTGTCTGTCTGTTTGTCTACTTAACTCTTTACTGTCTCTCTTTTCCTCAATTTTTCTTTTTTATCTTACCATCTCTCTCTTCCCCCATCTTCATCTCGCACTCCCATCTTCTCTTCCCTCTACATCCCTCCCCTTCTCTCTCTCTCTCTCTCTCTCTCTCTCTCTCTCTCTCTCTCTCTCTCTCTCTCTCTCTCTCTCTCTCTCTCTCTCTCTCTCTCTCTCTCTCTCCTTCTACACTTAGCTATCCTTCTTTCTCAATCTTCTGCAATTTCTTTTACATCTGCTATTTTCCTTTATCTCCACTTTTAGATTGTGCAAGAGGAAAGTAATCCAAGCAATTGGAAGCACGAACAAGAACACCACTCTTGTTCTCCTTTTAATTGGCCTTTTCTTTTCTTTATTCTTGTTCACTGCTTCCAAATCTTTC